AAATATATTGAGCTGTCATTTTGGGAGTGTTCTTCTAAAAGGTGAAATCTTTCTGATTATTTTTCTGAAGTGAGGATTTTCAATATATCTGGTTTGTGAATAGTTTATAATGTGGGATTTATTTCACGGGCGGGGGCCGATCGGAGAATTGCCGGGCATTTGATGTAACCGAGGCGGCGTTTCATGGAGTTGAGGATTCGGTGTAACCGATGTGCTGAAGTTTCTTTACACTCAAGATTTAAGCTTAATTTTGCTGTGATATTTATCAAGGTAAGATTCAATTTTTTTCTTCGGCTTTTTTTTTGTAACTAAAATTATTGCATTAATTAAAGGTATGAATCTTTTCTTGATGGACGTTTGGTAGCTGAGAAAATGCCGGAAAGAAAATTTAGAATTTTTTTTTCTGGGTTTTAGAACTGTCACCGTTCCGGAGACTTCCATATTTATGGCTTTTTTGGTTTTATTTTTTGATTTTGTGGACTGACGATTTTTTTTGAGGTAGGCGAATGTTGTATTTTTGGCAAAATCTCCTTTCTGGGTTCTTCCTGCCCTCTTCTTTCTTGTAGATTGCAGGGTTGTTACTTTTCTATTCATTTTTGTTAATTCTTGTGATCAACTATTGGCTTAATTGACCCTTCATTATGGCAGCACTCGTCTTTTATCCGTCTCCATTCCCTTTCTAGGTTAAACCTATATATATATATATTAAAAAAAATTACACACACAACCAATCATGTATATAAATGGTTTGCTGATGATTTTGGAAGAAGTAGGATTTGATGTTGTTAGTCTTATGGCTTTCAAACTTTCCTCTATTAATTCGGTTGTGTAAACTGCTCCGTAAATTTTTTTCAGATTTCTTACAGTATTTTTTCTACTTGCAAACCCACATCCCTAAACAACAATAACTCTACTAGTATTTTCAAGCATTTACTTGGTAATTTATATGTTTTAATTTTTCTGAAGGTGTTAATTGTGTTTATTTTTCAGGCTTTATTGATATTATTGTTGTTGGAAGCCGCTTATGCAACAACGAAAGAACTCCAATTGCAGAGACAAAGAGCTGAAAAGGGGAACGAGAATATAATATCACATTCTTGTATTCATGATCAGATAATCGAACAAAGGAATAGACCTGGTCGCAAGGTGTATACTGTTTCCCGACAGGTCTATGAGGAGTCTGGTGTTTCAAAGCCCCTTCAACAAAGGGGAAGGGCATTGCTTGGTGTTTCTGAATTGCCAAGGTGGCATAATGATGCTAAGCAACCTATAAGAATTTATTTGAATTATGATGCTGTTGGTCATTCGTCAGATAGAGACTGTCTGAATGTTGGTGATATTGTTAAGGTAAGTATCTGCAATAAATATGATTTCTTTCTGTTATTTCTTTTGAATTAATGTCAGATTCTTTTTCCGTTTGTTTCTATCTTTCATTTTCCAGCTCGGGGAACCAACAGGTGCTTCTTTTTCTGGTCACCCTTCTTGTAATCCACACGGAGATCCTCCAGTTTATGGTGATTGCTGGTATAATTGTACAGTGGATGATATTGCTGGGGAGGACAAAAAGCATCGCCTTCGCAGGGTTACATTCTTACTTAATTTTCATATAATTGTATGGCACTGCAAATTATCACCTTAATAGAGATAGGATTCTAAATGCACACAATTGCATTTAAAGAGACGTTATACCAACACTTCCTGAGGAATTTCTTGCTAACCCTGTAGACTATTGATATATGGGAAAATGATTATATTTTTTCCTACTTTGTTACTTAAAATGAATGCCCGCATTTGACTCTTTGGGCCATGGCTTGTTTGATGCCAAGGATGGAGGTTCTGTTCCACTTGAGTGTGTCCTTGAAATGCACTCACATATTGAGGCCGCTTAATGCAGGCTCTCGGGCAGACAGCAGACTGGTTCGGGAGAGCTTTAGCTGTTGAGCCTGTAAAGGGGAACTTGCGATTAAGTGGATACTCTGCATGTGGACAAGATGGAGGTGTGCAACTCCCCAGGGAATCTGTGGAAGGTATCCTTGTTCCAAAAGATGTTTGTGCAATGCTAAGTGATTTTCTTGATTAGCTTCGTTTGATCTGTCAAGCTAGCCAAAAAGGAGCTGCTAATAATCAATCTTCTCAATTTTTCAGAGGGGGTCGCTAATGCAGATTTAATTCTTTTGGTGACCACAAGGCCAACTACTGGCAACACTCTAGCATGGGCAGTGGCATGTGAACGTGATCAATGGGGTCGTGCCATTGCTGGTATTTGTTTTATTTTTATTTGAACTGTTTGAATGAGCAAACTTGCTAAGACATTGGCATACCTCTCTTTGCTAATATTGAAGATTGCTTGAGTGCAGGACACGTGAATGTTGCACCACGTCACTTGACTGCTGAAGCTGAAACTTTACTTTCAGCTACTCTGATACACGAGGTAAGTTAACTGAAGCAACAGCTGTGAAAATGAGGGAAGTACCTTTTTAGTGATATAATAAAGATTTTTTGTTTTTGTAGGTTATGCACGTTCTTGGATTTGATCCCCATGCCTTTGCTCATTTTCGGGATGACAGGAAAAGAAGGCGTATACGGGTAAATCTTGTCATGATGTTAAGTGTTATACAATCAGGAGATGATATCATTAAATACTATTTTGTGTGCACTTAAATTTACAACTATTCTCATTCTCGGGTTTTGTCTGCCAAAGTCTAAAGAAGTTGTTTCAGTCGAAGGCTTGTTATGTCTTACAATTCAAATGCCCTTTTGCATATGTACTGCCTCTAATTGAGATTCTATTTTCTTTTAATCACAAATATGAAATAACAAACAGAAAGAATTTCTGTGTATGAGCCTTGTTTTCTCTTGTTTAAGAGACTTTCTTAATGAACTTTTGCACGAATATTGGTAGTTAGCCTGACATATATACATTTTATAAATTGAACACTGATTCAACATTTGTAATATACCATGACGCTTTCTAACTCAGTATATCAAGATGCTTGATTTATATTGTGAGAGTTCTTAGCTTGACACAACAAAATCAAGATAAAGGAGTGTACCAAAGTACATCCTTCCAATTTTCCTTATAGTGAACGAGTGTTTGAGCAAGGTTTTATTGAAGTTGAGTAAAATATATTGAACCAGCCAATGTGGACTATCTTTTGTATATAACAGTTACAGGAAAGACATACTATCATCATCAAATCTTCGAATTGAGAACATGCCTTCTGCCCTGACCAAGGAGGCAAGAATAATCACATAACAAGTCCACCTGATAAGTGAAGTAATATTTTAGTCAGGAAATTAGCTGAGCAACTCAGTTGAACCATGAGTCATAGCTCCTGTGCACATTTGCCCAGGTCATGCGATTGTATTCCTAGCTAAATCTAGGACAGAGTTCATTGTAAACGCTGACACTACAGACGGACATTAACAAGTATTGAACAGTGGAAAGTGAATTGCTTTTTTTTATTTCTCGTGAAATGTTTTTGGAAAAAGAACGCAGAAAACATGTGTCATCAAGTCTATGTTCAAGTTATCCATGATTCATATGTAACTTCACATTTGCTCTGGCTTTCAATTTTAATCATGCTCTTCCAAGTAATCTGCTTTATATTTAGAGCATGTTTCTGGTCTAACATACTTTTTATTCACATATTTCTTAGGACCCACAACTTACAATTCACTTATTAGCTGCATTCTCTGTAGGACCCATAACTTATACACAATCAGAAGCACTACCAAACAAGCACTTACTATGCTATTTACTTGTAAAGGAAGGTTATCTGTTTTCCGGTCAGCCCCTTTCTTTCAGTGATGAAAAAAATCCAGATCAACTGAAAATGCTTTAAATATGAGGATGCAAAAAGAAAACATCACCATCATTCATTTTTGGCTTGAAGTGATTTGTCCAAATTTAGCACTGATATATGAATGACTTCTATACAACATTCTTTACACACACATCGACGTGCTGTTTTTCTTCGTAGGTCACTGAACAAGCTACAGATGAAAAGCTTGGAAGAATGGTAACGAAAGTGGTGCTTCCTCGAGTTATCATGTACTCACGTTACCATTACGGGGTACTTTATCAATCCTTCTCTCTTTGCATTTCAGTTTGCGAAACATGAATGTTATTAGATTTCTTTTTAAAATAAGATTTCCTTTCACGGCCAAGTTAGAAAAGTCAACAAACTTGTCAAACTTTTTATTGGCAGGCATTCTCTCAGAATTTCTCAGGTTTGGAGCTAGAAGATGGTGGTGGACGTGGCACATCAGGTTTTTCCTTGTTTTCTCTATAAATCCTATAAATAGTTCATTTGTCAGTTAATCATTAATATTGCTAATAGCTTGTAATGTTGCTATTGAAATATTTTTTATCGAAGTACATTTATACAATTAACTTATGCAAACTTTTTTAGTGCACGTTAATCATGTTTGCAGAGTTTGATCTGTCTGTATAATAGTTTCACAATGTCACACAGACAAAAGGAATGTCTAACAAAGCATTAAATGCAAAAAAATATCTTCTTTTACTTAGTATTATATTTTGACACATATATTTTAGCATTAATGTTAACTGATTATCTCTAATCGTTATATAATTAATGACTTGCCACAGGATCCCACTGGGAGAAAAGACTTTTAATGAATGAGATAATGACTGGCTCAGTGGATACAAGATCAGTAGTTTCAAAAATGACCCTTGCTTTACTAGAGGACAGTGGATGGTACCGTGCTAATTACAGTATGTCAGATCGTCTTGACTGGGGTCGGAACCAAGGAACTGAATTCGTCACCTCCCCTTGCAATCGTTGGAAGGGGCCATATCATTGCAACACAACACAGATTTCAGGATGTACATATAACAGGGAGGCAGAAGGTTACTGCCCTATAGTAAGTTATAGTGGGGAGCTTCCACAATGGGCACGCTATTTTCCAGAGGCTAACAAAGGTATGTTCTTGTTTTGCCTCGCTTGAATTTTTCAATCTACTACTGTCATACATTTTTGAACACTTATTTGTATTCTTGTTGCAGGCGGTCAGTCATCATTGGCTGATTATTGCACATATTTTGTTGCCTACTCTGATGGATCTTGTACTGCCACTAACAGTGCTAGGGCACCTGACAGGATGTTGGGTGAGATGCGTGGAAGTAGTTCAAGGTGAGATTTTCACTTGAACCTTTCTCAGAACTATAAAGAGAATTGATGTTGACGATTCTTCTCATATCATTAAATATAGGTGTATGGCCTCATCATTGGTGCGTAGTGGGTTTGTAAGAGGCTCTACAACCCAAGGAAATGGTTGTTATCAGCATAGGTGTGTAAACAACACTCTGGAGGTATGGTTTCGAACATAAATATAATGCTTCTCTAACATTAGTCATTACTCATTAGTATCTGATGCTTGTGGGCTTATAGTCTCGGGTGAAGATAAATGTGCATATAGGATATCATTTGGGAACTATGACGTGTTCCTTGTACTCTTTGTTCCCTCTCCCCACACTTTCTCTTGCGAGAGGGGATTTATTGTGTGTGTTTGTGTGTATTCTGTTTTGAATCTTTAAGTATTAGAGTTGTCTTGCTATAAAAGAATATTGTTTGGGTCAAGGAAATCCATCCCCGCTTTTACAGATTTTTTAATGGACTTGCCAGAAACTTTATAGAATAGGTAATAGGATGTTTCCTTGTAAACTCCTTGCTCATAGTTTCTGATTAATGAAATTTTACTTGTCAAAACATATTTGGATAAATAACTGCTGAGGGAACTATGACACCCGCTTTGCGATGTATATATCTCTGTTGAGCTGGATATTTAATTATATTTAAAAGGAAAACATTTAACTTCAGGAACATTTTAGACTGCAATGTATTTTAATAGCCTATGTTTGGCTCATGTTTATAAACATGCCAACCACTTTTTATTCACGCATTTCGTGGGATTCAAAAGTACTATCCAGCTATCACCATTTAATTCTGTCTATTTATAAACACTTCCCAGACATGCTTTTATTCTTTTGAAGGATTTTTCCTACCACATGAGTGATGGAGGAAAGGAACAGAAAATAAGATTACCATAGTTCCTGATATTATCCAGCTGAAACTTTATATTTCTCCAGTAGGTTTAAGTTCTAGCCTTGTCTTTGTATTGTCCTTATGGAATATAGACTAGAGAAAATTCCCATCGGAATTTTTAGTTCTTGGTATATGAGTCATTTATATATATTTGATCTGCTCCCTATCCATTAAAACATTGAGAGGAAGCTGCTGAACCAAATCCTTTCATGCACAGGGCGGAGAGCTAAATAAATTGCTTTGAGTCTTCGTACTCTTATCTGAATATACTATTACTAATCTTTTCTAGGTTGCTGTGGATGGCATTTGGAAAGTATGCCCTGAATCTGGTGGACCTGTTCAATATCCCGGGTTTAATGGTAATTGGTTTTATTTTGATGTGATCAAATATATATCTTTATGACATTTTACCTCAGAATTTGTTTTAGTTCATTTATTTCCTTGACTCATTTATTGTTTCTGCTGAACTATAGGTGAACTGATCTGCCCAGCTTACTATGAACTCTGCCATGTGGATCCAGTCCCTGCATCTGGTCAATGCCCCAATTCATGTAATTTTAATGGTGATTGTATTGATGGAAAATGTCGCTGCTTTTTAGGGTTTGAGGGTTATGATTGTAATCGACGTAAGCTCCTTAACCTTTATCTCCTTTTTCCGGAAGGACTTACTAAAACTGATTCGTTCATTGGACACTTCTCTTGGATATCATTGATGGAGTTTAATTTTCAGGTTCCTGCCCTAATAATTGTGCTGGGCATGGCAAGTGCCTTGCAGATGGTGTTTGTGAATGTGAAAATGGGTACACTGGCATTGATTGTTCAACAGGTAAGATGTTGATTAAGATTCTTCGTTCTTGTTGGTTCCTTCTGATTTGGTGACAGATCAAAAAATGAACTCAACTACTGATAGCTTCCTCGTTCCAGGCTTTGTAGGATATTTGATTGTTATTCCGTGGAAATGTTAGTTCCTTTTATTTTGAAGCTTATGGATTGCTACAGGCTTTTTACATGAAATAGTTATGTGTATAGAATGTTTTCAATATGCAAATATAATGGTTTTCAGAATTTTTGGGGAAGCTAAAGAGTATGTAAAAGCAGTGTTGAAATTTAATTTAGACCAAGTAATGTTGAGATAAAATATTTTGAAGAGGAGTTGGAAGTTTCTATAGATGCTTGACAACGATGTCAAAATTGAACATACAAGAAAATAAATACCGCAGTTATTATTGAAATAAAAAAATTTAAGCACTATAATGCTTATCGGTTTTTATTTCAGAGTGCGGTAAAGTTGCCTTTTTACATGGGTGGACTTTCTTGGTGCCCTTTAAATGATATTCTTACCCAGGAAAAGGTGTACTTAAATATTTAAAAACAAAGCTTACTGTAATTCTCTTAAAAGTATTTGGAGGCACTTTTGGTACACGTATAAACAAACTCACTCACTCTATAGTAATTCATTAAAAGTTTATGGGAAGTCAATGAGTGACATTTTAGTACGTGTGAAAGACCATTCATCAGAAGCTGCCTAAGGGGACCATGCCTCCCCCTCAGGGAGTGTTGTTGATCGGCTCCTTTGCTCCCTCCAGTCTGATAACAGAATACTGAGATGTTTTAAACCATTGTCACCAGTACTTTAAGGACATATCATACATGTGCAATTAAAATATATGCAACACGGAGAGAATTTGACCTTTGCTTTCTCCACATTCCTATGGCAATACGCAGCTGTTTGCGATGAGCAATGCAGTCTTCATGGTGGGGTCTGTGATAATGGTGAATGTGAGTTCCGTTGCTCGGATTATGCTGGCTACACATGTCAAAACAGCTCTTCACTTCTCCCCGATCTCTCGGTCTGCAAAGATGTCCTAGAGAAAGATGTGTTGGGCCAACATTGTGCACCAAGTGAATTGAGTGTATTGCAGCAGCTAGAAGAAGTTGTTGTCATGCCCAACTACCAAAGGCTATTTCCAGGAGGGCCTCGGAAGTTTTTAAACTATATTAGAGGCAGAGACTGTGATGGAGCTGCCAAGCGATTAGCCTGCTGGGTAAGTTTATTAATCTTTATACTCTTTAAGAGTGGACAGAGTCTACTCGCTCTTTAATTTAGTTGTATCACATTCCATTTTAGTTGGTAGAATCATGTGAATATTCCATCAGTCTTTTTCTCAAACTAGTATTGTTCCTGTTGCAGTGTTTCTCTATTACCGACTTCCATAGGGATAAGTTGAGATGATTAGCGGTTAGCTTAATTGACAAATTTGAAGCCTCATGAGCCCAACAAAGCCCAGTTTACTTGACTTCTGCTATCCCAGTTGGGTTCACTGTGAGAGTGGCCTCTGTTCGGTTTTGATAAAAATCAGATATTATTATTTTTTTATTAAAGTTGATGAAATGTTTGGTTGAAAAATTGATAAAAGTTGGGGTCCCATGAAATTTTGGTTGAAAATGATTTTGAGGAAAATGAGTTTTAAGAAATGGGGGCCAAACGGGGCTTTATATCCAAAAAAAACAAACATATGAATGTTCTGGCTTTTGTATAGATCTGAGAAATTGTAAACCAAGTTGGAGTAGAGCTCTGGTACTTCATTATATTTATAGATGAAGTTCACTGCCGGTTAAATTGCAAAATCATTTTAGCTTTGAATGACCATGAGAGGCAATACTCAAAAAGTAATAGTGGACGTTTAACTGCATATAGACCTACTTGCCTAAAAGTTCTTCGGTTTTGAGTTTTTTTGAAATTTGACTTAAGCTGAATTGCTCAATACATGGCTTGGTGCTTGGTGGTTTATGTTTTATGGAATGTTTCTGGATGTAGGAGAAAAGCCCAGAGTTCTGATTATTTCGTGCATTTTTCATCAGTTGCATATCATGTCGTGGCTTGAGAAACTCGCTAAACTGTTATATTTGTCTTCTGCCTGAACCAGATATCTATACAAAAGTGTGACAAGGATGGTGACAACAGACTGCGGGTATGCCACTCTGCGTGCCACTCATATAACCTAGCATGTGGAGCATCACTTGATTGCTCGGACCAAACCCTCTTTAGCAATGAAAGTGAGGGTGAAGGACTGTGCACAGGCTGGGGCGAATTAGATTCATGGTTGTAACGGCGTATAGAGCAGCAGGGAGTCGAGCAACAATCCCCCAAGGGGTTATGTAAATTGTAGAAAGCTTGTAGCGTTTTTTCTAATGGCTTGTAATAGTTATAGTTTATTTTTCTAAAGTTACAGGAAGTTGGCACAAATTGCAGGTGCACTAGTGTAGAATTTTCATTTTCCCATCCCAATATCATTTGAAGAAAATTGGGTGGGAGTGATTATTGGGATTTTTTCAAGATGAAAGTTCTGATGTAGACAGACATTAAGGATGTAACTGAAAGAACGAGAGGGGAAAAAAGGAGGATGTGTTGGTGAGTGATCAAAATGTATCTACTATTTAGGCCTAAGGCCTTGAAAGAATGGATCAGTTTCTGAACATTTTGTTGTTCTCCTCTTTTTTCGTATCATTTTAATCCAATAATGTAATATTGCTGTTGAAGTAAAAACACTAATTTCGTCTCTTTTTTTTTTTAACGAAACGTGTAAGAAAAAGGAACATTTTAGCCTCCATATTGCAAAATTTAAATAAGTTGTCAAATTTTATGGTGGTATATTTTAATGGATCTATGAGTACTAATTATTTAGGATTTTGCTACTTATACATAAAAAATATACATAGTGAATTATATAATATGAAGTGGAGGGAAAAAATTAGATGAAAAAATTATTTGTAATTTAAACTGACAAATGGTAAAATGTCATTTAGTATTATGTAATCTATTAGGGTTAAATCCACTAATGACTATCCGACTTTATATTTAGTGTCAAAATGGCCATCCATTTGATTTTGTTCACCAATGGCCATCCAACTTTCTACTAGTGTCACAATTGCCATCCAATTTCGTATAACGTTTCACTATAATCATCCAACTTCTTTTATCATTTTCGCTAATTTTAAAAGAGGTAAAATTGTAACTTTGCATTATATATAAAATAAATTTAAAAAAAAAATAAAATAAAAGTTTTTTATTTAAAAAATATTTTTAAAACAAGTTTTAATTTTATTTTGAAAACATTTTTTTAAAATAAGTTTTTATTTTATTTTATTTTTCTAATTAATTTTTTAAGTAAGTTTTTATTTTATTTTATTTTCTTAAGTGACTTTTTTAAAATAAATTTTTATTTTTTTAAGTAACATTTTTTAAAATAAGTTTTTATTTATTTTTTTTTTAAAAATTTATTTTATATATAGAATGCGAAGTTACTATTTTACCCTTTTTAAAATTAGTGAAAATGATAAAAAGAAATTAGATGGTTACGGTGAAACTTTATATGAAATTGAGTGATCATGGTGAAACGTTATATAAAGTTGGGTGGTTACGGTGATACTAAATATAAAGTTAGGTGGTTATGATGAAACAAAATTAAATTAGGTGATCATGGTGACACTAATTATAAAATTGGGTGGTCATTGGTGGATTTAACACAATCTATTATTTAAATCTTTGCGTATATATAGCAAAATCCATTTATTTATTCATTATTAATTTCTATTTATTTATAAATAAAATCATTTATATATTTTTCTTGGATGGATGCGAAAACAATTATTAAAAGCGTAGACACGAATTTGAAATGTCGTATTTCAATCAATGGTCATAAATTTGTTCTATTAGAGTCGGGCAAGTTTTAGAGTTGGTATGATTTTTGCTTCTATTTCTTGTTTCTTGTAGAAAAATTTTCTTTTCTTTTCTAGAAGAACTTATTAGGAATCTACTTTAATTAACATTTGAAAACTAATTTCTTAAAGAGATTTCTCATTTGGAAGAACTTTTAGAAGAAATCACAATGAACCAATTTTCTCTAAAGTCTCTTCTATCTAAAAAACACTTATATAAAACAATCACGTTTCGCGTTTTATGTACATGGTGGGAGTTCATAGAACCCCCATCGATAACTCACACATAAAGGGGTCTGTAATTTTTTTTATTGAGGTGGATCACATAATGTGAGAGAGTGTCCTGTACATTTGGATCCACCGCATGTGAAAGGGTGTAGGGGTATGAACCCCTGCCCATGTACATTTGACTTATTGTATATAAAATTATTCAAACAGGTTCCAAAATAATTTTTAGGTCCCAAAATCTCTTTTCATATTTTCAAAGTCATGCCAAAAAGACCTTTTATTCTTTGTACGACTAAGGCACAACAACACGAAATTTAAAAATTAACTCAACATAATGTTTATTTTATGCCATCAAACTTAGCTTTTGTTTAATCAATATTATTTAAAAACTCATTCTTCCTCAAATTCACTCAACCACACATTTTTCGAATAAAATAATTTCACACATAAACTGAAAACTTTTTTCTACTTTTTAACAACATACTCTCTAGAAAATCACTATTACAAAATCAATTTTCAATAAAAATGAGTTCAAACGAACCCTTAATAATTACTCTTACTCAAATCAAAATTTATGATGTAATTAATTGTATTGAAAAATGTTTAATAATAAGCACCAACCTTGAATAACATGGTTAATTTACGAAATTGTGGGACAGAATGTGATCAAGTAATCCGAACCCATACATGTGCATGTACTTGAAGGATCATCGTACGCATAATTATAGGCTGTTGGGCAAGCATTCTTGAACAATTGAGAGTATTGAGTTGGCGAGCATGTCGTCGGCATGGCGTGTTCGCCTGTGCGGCAAAAGTCTGCAATGTTAAAGGCAGCTCCACATGCCACCACAGAGCTAGAGAAAGAGTCAGTTGTAATTCTTCGGGACAACTTCCATTGAGCGTTGGATATTGTTCAAATTAACAATGAAGAGTGACTTTGGAAGTGATGGAAATGATCAACTACGAGAAAAACAAGCGAAAACAAAACAAAAAATGGTGAAGGACGAAAAATGGCCTGGCGGTCGGCCGGCCGGGCAGTCTTGTTGCAATTACAGTGGCCATTTTGTTGAACTGGGTGGCCGCCTAATACAAAAATTTACCTGTTGAGGTTTTGAATTATGGCGTCCTTTTGAAGAGTTTTACACCATTTTGCCTTGGTTTTTGCACATCTTCATGTATGGTGATTGTAATTCTATATATATGAACGATTTTCATGATTGAAAACATATCGCAAACATCATATTGATTCCATTACATCCAAAATCTAAAATAAACCAATTTTTTTTATAATTTTGTTCTTTAGTTTATTTTTCCAAGTTTTGTTTTGCTTGATTCAAATTTAAATAAAGGTTTGTTTACTCTTACAAACCATTTGCCATAAAACCTTCAAACACTTATCTCGGTGGCAGCAAATATCGTTTGAGGACAGTGATTTATAATCATGTTTAAATCTTCCATTTTGGCGATTTCTTATTGCTGGTTTTTATTTTCGTTCTTCATCAACTTCCTCAACAATCTCAAATGACATTCAACATGGAGAACGATACAATCATGCTACGATAAAGATGATGAATCAAGATCTAGTGAAACTCGACAGATTCGACGATTAACTTTACAATATGGAAGGACAAGTTGAAGTTTCTTCTCACAACCTTAAAGATCTTCTACATTATGGATCCTGACTTGGCACCATTGCTAGAACCAACCTCAAATGACATTGGTGAAATAAGGGTGGAAAGGAAGAAGGGAGAATTGATATGTAGAAGACACATTCTGAATGCTCTCTCCGATAGCCTACATGATCTCTACACAAATAACATCTCAACAAATGAGATATGAGAATTGTTGGAAACCAAAATACAAAGTTGAGGAGAAATGTACCTAAAAGTATCTTATTTCTAAGTATTTTGATTTCTTTAAAAACCTATTGGAGTCATTGTTAGGACAAGTACATGAGGTACAAGTTATTGTCAATAAAATGTTGGTCGTGAAGAGAGATCTTCCCGTAACTTTTCAAGGTGGTGCAATCATAGTGAAATTTCCATCTTCATGGAAAATGTTATAGGAATAAGATCATTCACAATTCCCAAGATTATTCCTTGGAAGAAATTCAAAAACATCTTCAAATTGAGGAAGAGTCAATGGTACGAAATGAGAATGAACATTCACATGAGAACACTTCTAAAACTCATGCCTTGGATTAATCAAACAAATACAACAAGGATTCCAAGAAAATGAAATCCACAAATCCCAACAAAGATAATAGGAACAAGAACATATTCAAAATTTCTTGTTATTTGTGTGGCAAACTCAGACATTATGCTCGGTATTGTAGATATCATAAACAACTAATGCAAGAAGGTAAAGTGAATTCCATTGACAACATCATTGCTACCGTGAGCATTGTGAATTCGGTCAAAGAAAATGTTCAAGGATAGTGGTATGATACTTGTGCCCCCATACATGTGTGTTATGATAGATCCCTTTTCAAAATTTATCAAGATGTGGATGACGAACACATTCAAATAGGGAATGAAGTTCAATCAAAAGTTATTGGCAAAGGAAGCATACACTTACAAATTACCCTCCAAAATGCTAACAAGTCAAATACCCGGCAAAGTCCCAACTACGAGGTTTATTTCACTCCGGTAAGAAAACCACATTAATAAATGTATTGCATGTACCAAATATGAATAATAATCTTATAAGTGGTAATTCGTTGGGAAAATCGGGAATAAAGTCCACACATGAGATGGACAAACTCATACTTTCTTGTAATGGTGTATTTGTTGGAAAATTCTATTCTACTGATAGAACAGTCAAACTTTATACTATTAACAATAATATCAATAAAACTATAAATCTAAATTATATTGTTGAGTCTATTTCTTTATGGTATGATAGATTATGACATGTTGATTTTTCTACTTTAAAAAGAATGATTAAAATCGAAATGATTATATATGAAAACATAGAATATAATAAATGTCAATTACGTGTTAAGTCTAAAATGATTAAGAAACATTTTCATAGTGTTGAAACGAAATCTAATTTGTTAGACTTAATTTATTCTAATATATGTGAATTAAAAATGTTAACTAGTTGAGATCATAGATATTTCATAACATTCATAGATGATCATTTTATGTTATGTTATATCTAC